CAATGATTATTCAGGGTTGATTTCCTTTGGAAATGACTGGTTTGATCTTGCAGTCCAAGGGACTCTCAAGAGTATTCTCCAGCACCACAATTCAAAAGGATTAATTCTTGGTTGTGCAGCCTTCTTTATGGTCCAACCCTCACATCTCTACATGACCACTGGAAAAATAGTAGCTTTGACTATACAGACTGTTGCTGGCAAAGTGATATTTTTGCTTTTTAATGCACTGTCCAGGTTTGTCATAACTTTCCTTCCAAGGAGTCTTTTAATTTCATGGCTGCAGTCACTGACCACAGTGATTTTGGAGCCCAAGAAAATAAAATCTGTCACTGCTCCCACTTTTCCCCATCTATTTGCCATGAAATGATGGGACCAGATGCTGTGATCTTAGTTTTCTGAACGTTGAGTTTTAAGCCAGCTTTTCCACTCTCCTCTTTCACCCTCATCAAGAGGCTTTTTAGTTCCTCTTTGCTTTCTGCCGTTAGAGTGATATCTTCTGCATATCTGAAGTTGTTGATATTTTTCTCTGCAGTCTTGATTCCAGCTTGTGATTGATCCCGCCTGGCATTTCACGTGATGCATTCTGAATGTAAATTAAATAAACAGGGTGACAAATACAGACTTGTCTTACAACTTTCCCAATTTTGAGTCAGTTCATTGTTCCATGTCCTGTTCTAACTGTTGCTTCTTGACCTGCATACAGGTTTCTGAGGAGGCAGGTAAGGTGGTCTGGTATTCCCATCTCTTTAAGAATTTTCCAGTTTGTTGTGATCCACACAGTTAAGGCTTTAGCATAGTCAATGAAGCATAAGTAGATGTTTTTATGGAATTCCCTTCCTTTTTATATGATCCAAAGTATGTTACCAATTTGATCTCTGGTTTTTCTGCTTTTCCTAAACCCAGCTTGTACATCTGGAAGTTCTTGGTTCACATACTGTTGAAGCCTAGCTTGAAGGATTTTGAGCATGACCTTACTAGCATGTGAAATGAGCACAATTGTCCAGTAGTTTGAAAATGCTTTGGCCCTGTCATTCTTTGGGATTGGAATGAAAACTCCTTTTCCAGTCCTGTGGCCACTGCCATTTTCCAAATTTGTGGGCATACTGACTGCAGCACTTTAACAGCATGATCTTTTAGGATATGAAGTAGCTCAGTTGGAATTGCATAACCTCCACAAGCTTTGTTCATAATAATGGTTCCTAAGATTCAATTGACTTCACACTCCAGGATGTCTGGTTCTAGGTGAGTAACCACACTATCATGGTTATTCCGGTCATTAAGAATTTTTTGTATAGTACTTCTGTGTATTCTTGCCACCTCTTCTTAATCTCTTCTGTTAGGTCCTTGCCATTTTTGTCCTTTATCATGCCCATCCTTGCATGAAATGTTCCCTTGATGCCTCCAGTTTTCTTGAAGAGATCTCTAATCTTTGCTATCCTATTGTTTCCTTTACTTCTTTTCATTTTTCATTGAAGAAGGCCTTCTCTCCTTTCTAGTTTCTGGAACTCTGCATTCAGTTGGGTGTATCTTTCCCCTTATCCCTTTCTTTTTTGCTTCTTTTCTTTCTTCAGTTATGTGTAAAGCCTCCTCAGACAACCACTTTGCCTTCTTGCATTTCTTGTTTTGGGATGGTGTTCATTGCCTTCTTTAGTTAGGAGCCTCCATCCACTGTTCTTCAGGCACTCTGTCTACCAGATCTAATCTCTTGAATCTGTTTGTCACCTCCACTGTATAATCATAAGGAATTTGATTTAGGTCTTATCTGAATGGCCTTGTGGTTTTCCCTACTTTCTTCAACTTAAGAAATTGGATTCAATTTTGCAATAAGGAGCTCAAGATAAAACTTCACTGTTATTCCAGACATCTCTTGACTTCCTACCTCTGCATTCCAATCCCCTATAATGAAAAGGATACCTTTTTTTTTGGTGTTAGTTCTAGAAGGTCTTTGTGGGTCTTCATGGAGCTGGTCAACTTCAGCTTCTTTGGCATCAGTAGTTTAGGCATAGTCTTGGATTACTATTTTGGTGAACTGTTTGTCTTAAAAACAAATCGAGATCATTCTGTCATTTTTGAGGTTGCACCTAAGTACTGAATTTCAACCTCTCTAGTTGACTCTGAGGGCTACTCCAGTTCTTCTCAGGGGTTCTTGCACACAGTAAGCATAATGGAATTCTGAATTAAATGCGCCCATTCCTGCCCTTTTGAGGCCACTGATTCCCAAGATGTTGACTCAATTACATGCGCCCATTCCTGCCCTTTTGAGGCCACTGATTCCCAAGATGTTGACTGAATTACATGCGCCCATTCCTGCCCTTTTGAGGCCACTGATTCCCAAGATGTTGACTGAATTACATGCGCCCATTCCTGCCCTTTTGAGGCCACTCATTCCCAAGATGTTGACTGAATTACATGCGCCCATTCCTGCCCTTTTGAGGCCACTGATTCCCAAGATGTTGACTGAATTACATGCGCCCATTCCTGCCCTTTTGAGGCCACTGATTCCCAAGATGTTGACTGAATTACATGCGCCCATTCCTGCCCTTTTGAGGCCACTGATTCCCAAGATGTTGACTGAATTACATGCGCCCATTCCTGCCCTTTTGAGGCCACTGATTCCCAAGATGTTGATGTTCACTCTTGCCGTCTCCTGCTTGACTACCTCTGATTGAGCGTGAGTCACGGACCTAACGTTACAGGCTCCTATGCGATATCGTTCTTTATATTGTTCAGAATTTACTTTCACCACTAGACACTTCCACAGCTGAGCATCATTTCCGGTTTGCCCTGTTTCATTCTTTCTGAAGCTATTAATAATTGTCCCCTGCTCTTTGTCAGTAGCATATTGGACACCTTCTGACTGGGAGGCTCATCTTCCTGTGTCATCTTTTTGCCTTTTCATATTGTTCACATTCATGGGGTTCTTGCAGCAAGAATACTGGAGTGATTTGTCATTCTCTCCTCCAGTGAACTATGTTTTGTTAGAACTCTCCACTCTTGCCTGTCCATCTTGGGTGGCCCTGCATGGCATGGCTCATAGCTTCATTGAGTTACACAAGCCCCTTCACCATGAGAAGATTGTGATCCATGACAGGAAAAATGCTAATATAGTTAATTTATAAAATATTATATTGAATCAGATATTTTTTGAAAAACCATTGCTAACTCAGGTATGGCAGATACAAATTTCAGTATTTATACATGATGTGGTTCATTTATTTTTTTAAAAAAATATTTATTGAGCATCCATTATTTGTCATGTCCTCTACTAGATCTTTTTGATATTATAGAATAATGAAAAGTTCCTGCTCATCATGAAGAGCTTTATGTGTTGGTGGAGAGAAATTATAAATAATGAACAATATTAGAATAAATATATGATATATGTACTAATTCATAGTGATTTTGAATAATTGGCTGTGTACTTATTTTAGGTTACAAAGTATCTTTTAGAACACCTTTTGTCTTTATTATTATTTTATTTTTAATTAATTAATTTATTTTAATTGGAGGCTAATTACTTTACACTATTGTGGTGGTTTCTGCCATACATTGACGTGAATCAGCCATGGTTGTACATGTGTCCCCATCCCGAACCCCCTCCCACTTCCTTCCCTGTCCCATCCCTCTGGGTTGTCCCAGTGTACCAGCTTTGTGTTCCCTGTTTCATGCATCAAACTTGCATTGGTCATCCATTTCACATATGGTAATATACATGTGTCTCTATTATTTTCTAAATATTTAAGAGTGATTATGTTTTCCTTGGGCTTCCTAAGAGATTTTCAATATTTTGCATTTCCATAATAGTTTTCTGAAAAGCCACAAGCATGTTTAATTTCTGCAATTAGAAATGAAAAAGTAACTAACTAAAAGTAACAACAGTAACCAAGACATATTTTGGCAACCAAGATATATCATATATTTATATGTCATAAATATATATTTTATCATATATTTTAAGCTTTTTATTTTATATTGGAGTATAGTTGATTAGCAATGTTATATTATTGTCAGGTGTTCAGCAAAGTGGTTCAGTCATACATTTACATGTATCTATTCATCTTCAAATTCTTTTCCCATTTAGTTTTTACATAATATTTAGCAGAGTTTCCTGTGATATGTTGGATGTATTTGTTGGTTAATGATTTTAAATACAGTAGTGTAATTCTCAAACTCCTTAAATATTCCTACACACCACCCTAAAGTAGCCATATGTTTATTCTGTAAGTCTGTGACTCTCCATTTTATGAAGGAGTTCAATTGTATCACTTTTATATTCCATATATAGGTGATATTATACAATATTTCACTTTTGCTGTCTGACTTACTTCACTCAGTATGACCATCTTTAGGTCTGTTTATGTTACTGCAAATGGCATTATTTCACTCTTTTTAATAGCTGGGTAATATTCCATTGAGAGCTGAAGAATTGATGCTTTTGAACTGTGGTGTTGGAGAAGACTTTGAAAGTCCCTTGTATTGCAAGCAGATCAAACCAGTCAATCCTAAAGGAAATAAGTCTTGAATATTCATTGGAAAGACTGATGATGAAGCTGAAACTCCGATACTTTGGCTACCTGATGGGAAGAACTGACTCATTGGAAAAGACCCTGATGTTGGGAAAGATTGAAGGCAGAAGGAGAAGGGGATGACAGAGGATGAGATGGTTGGATGGCATCACTGACTCAATGGGCATCAGTTTGAGCAAGCTCTGGGAGTTGGTGATGGCCAGGGAAGCCGGGTGTGCTGCAGTCCATGGGGTTGCAAAGAGTCAGTGACTGAACTGAAACTGAATGATCTTGCCATCACATTCCTCATCATATATCTGGAGAAAAACATGGCCTGAAGCAACAGTTGCAGTTCAGTGATCTTGTAGCACTGTTTACAAAATCTTACAGTTTTGAATGACACTTTGTGAAATTGTTTTCACATGGAATCTTCTCTATTTGAATTTTGTGTCTTCAGCAGCTTTGAATTCTGAGTTACAAAGTATAAATCATTACTCATATTCCATCAGAGAAGTTTTTCCTACCCAGCATGTTCCTCACAGCAATCTTTACATCCTTATTCCTCAGACTATAGATGAGAGGATTGAGCATGGGGGTCATCACTCCATAGAGGAGAGAGATGAGGGCCTCAATGATGTCTTGATTATCTGTACCACCGGAGCTTTTAGATTTGGGCTTAGCATACATGAAGAAGATTGTTACAAAGAATACAATCACCACTGTAAGATGGGCTGAGCAGGTGGAGAAGGCCTTACGTTTTCCTTCAGTGGAAGGAATTCTTAGAATAGTGGCAACAATGAAAATGTAAGAGATAGAAATTACTAGCAATGGAATAACTAGAACAATCAGATTTGACCCTGCCATGCTGATCACATTAATTGAAATATCAGCACAGGCCAATTTTAGGATAGCCAGAATTTCACAAACGAAATGGTTAATTACATTGTCAGCACAGAATGGTAATTGCATTGCAAGAGATGTCTGCACCACTGAGTCAACAATACCTGCAGCCCAGGATCCAGCTGCCATGGACACATAAGCACTTTTTCTCATGGTGACAGGGTATCTCAGTGGGTAGCAGATGGCCACATAGCGGTCAAGTGCCATCATGCCTAGAAGTATACACTCTGTGGCTCCCATGGCAAAAGAGAGAAACATTTGTACCATGCATCCAGAGAAGGAAACCCTTTTCCTTACTGTAAGAAAACTGTCAAGAATTAATGGGACAGAGGAGCTTGTATAGCAAATGTCCAGGAAGGAAAGATTACAGAGGAAGAAATACATGGGGGTGTGCAAATGAGAATCACAGATGATTACAGAGATAAGGACTCCATTTCCCAGCAGGATCATCAAGTACATACACAGAACTAACACAAAGAAAACTGTCTGGAGCTCTGGGTGAGCAGAAAGCCCAGTCAGGACAAATTCTCTCAACACGGAATCATTGGTTCTTCCCATATTGTGTATATCCTTTCTCCAACAGTGCTCTATGGATAATACAATGGATATTTGTTAATGCAGTGTCTCCAAGAATCTGTTTTAAGAATCATATTCTTTGTTATGAAAGTGTTAGTTGCTCAGTTGTGTGCAGCTCCTTGTGACCCCATTGACTGTAGCTCACCAGGCTCCTCTATCCATGGGATTCTCCAGGCAAGAATACTGTAATGGGTTACCATTCTCTTCTCCAGGGCATCTTCCTGACCCAGGAAATGAACCTGGGTCTCCTGCATTGCAGGTGGTTTCTTTACCGACTGAGCCACTAGGAAAGCCCTTTGTTACTATAGTTCTGCATTTGAAAGCAATAAGATAACTCTGGGATAATTTCTTACTCTAAACCTTGACCACTAGAGCAGGAATCCTAAGCTAATTTTCTCAGAGTTAATAGGGAACACTTTTTGATTGTAGGATGCTTGAATCTCAAGCCAGTTTATTGCCCTTTCTAGTGGTTCTACTTCCTAACACATTGATTTAGTATCAGTGATCTGGATGCAGCAGGCAGATAAAACTTATTTGCAAGTGGTTCCTGTGCTGTGTTTTTTGAATTTGTAAATTTGAATTACATTTTAAAAATGAATGTTTTAAAGGTAGGATATAAGCTGTAAAATTATTTTCAGCTTGTGTTAAAAAAATTGTAGTATTTGAAAACATTAAATTCATTTCCATTATGGAGCTCAGGTATAACTGCCTCATTAGGTTTGAAGCACATTCTCCATTTTACCAGAGTGTACCAGAGTACCCTCTTCTCTCTCTTCTTTGCTTGTCAGTGGAGATGATTATTAGTTACCAATTGGTGGCTCAATGGTAATGAATTCACCTACCAAGGCAGGAGCCATGGCCTTGATCCCTGGGTTGGGTAGATTCCCTGGAGAAGGAAATGGCAACCTACCCCAGTATTCTTGTCTGGGAAATCCCATGGACAGAGAAGCCTGGTAGGCTACAGTCCATGGGATCACAAAGAGTCAGATACAACTGAGTGATTAAACAACACTTAGTATGTCTACATTAATAACAACATAGATGTCAGATGTAAGGTTTCATCTTACTTTATGGAAGAAAGGGCCCATGAAGGCAAAAATGTCTAGGGCTCATCAAATTACTAATGCAGTCCTGTGTGACTAAGTCTCTTTTTAGAGCTCAGTATCATCTGGTGGTAGTTAGTCATTGCATATTGCCCCATGAGGACAGTGGCCTCACTGAAGAGACATGTCTTTGTATCACTACAGTATCTAACTCCCTCAGTATAATGAGGAATTATGTGTTCAAGTAAATGTTTTTTCTTTTTTTAAATAGAAAATAAATGAATATATTTAGGAAGCCATTTTTATTCCAAATAGAGAATTGTAATATTGTGTATTGTAGGCCTCACATAATTTATTTTTACCTATGCAAGAACTGTCACTTAAGAAATCAACTCGAGTAACAATGCTTTTATTCAAAATACATTTAAATACTAGTGATATACAACTATCATTTTTTTCACAAATAATATTTATAAGAAGGATAATATACAAAGCAAATAAAAGAAAGTTTCTCTGATATAAGTTACACTGGTTTGGAGGGAAGAGAAAAGCAATATCTCTTCAGGGTCTTATTCACTGTTCCTCCTTTAATTTGATTTTTATAGGATTCCAAAGGACATAGTTTGAAAACCACCAATGCAATAAATAATAGATAATTTTAATAACTTGCATTTTAAGTAATTTTATTAGCAACAATAATTATAAAATAATAATATATGTATTGATTACCTTATGCCAGATACATTTCTAAAAGTTTGTATTCATAACAATCCAAAGGACTGTTATTTTATGGCATATGGATTGTTCTTCCTTAGACTTTTGTTAAACATCACCAGTAAATCATAATATCAGTAGATGAAAGAAAATAAAAAGCAAAGAAAACCATAGAAAAAATGAAAAGACAACCTAAGGAATGGGAGAAAATATTTGCAAGTGATGCAACAGATAAGAGCTTATTCTCCAAAGTGTATAAACAGCTCATACAACTCAACAACAAAAGGCAAACAACACAACTGAAAAATGGTCACAAGACCTTAATAAATATTTCTCCAAAGGACACAGATATGGTCAGTAGGCACAGGAAAGGATACTCAACATTCTTAATTATTAGGGAGAAACACAAATCAAAACTACAATGAAGTACCCACCTCACACCGGTCAAATGGTCTTCGTTAAAAAGTATACAAATAACAAATGCTGGAGAGGATGTGGAGAAAAGGGAACCCTATTAAAGTTGGTGGGAGTGTAAGTTGGTGCAGCTACTATGGAAAACTGTGTGGATGTTCCTCAGCAAACTAAAAATAGAATTTCCATATGATCCAGCAATCCCACTCCCAGATGTATACCCGGGCAATACTATAATTAAAAAAGATATGTGCACCTGTATGTTCATAGCAGCACTATTCACAATAGCTAAAACATGGAAACAACCTAAATGTCCATCAATAGATGAGTAGATAAAGAGGATGTGATCCATGTATACAATATAATACCACTCAGCCATATAAAGAACAAAGGAATGTTATTTGCAGCAACATGGATGCAACTAGAGATTATTATACTAATCAAGGTAGGTCAGAAAGAGAAAGATGAAACACCATGTGGTATCACTTATACATGAAATCTAAAATATAGCACAAATGAACCTATCTACAAAACAGAAAGAGATTCACCGACGTAGAGAACAGAGTATGGTTGCCAAGGGGAAGGAGGGTGGGGGGAGGGAAGGTGTCAGAGTTTGGGACTAGCAGTTGTAAACTATTGTATATAGGATGGAGAAAAAAGGTCCTACTGTATAGTATAAGGAACTATATTCAATATCCTATGATAAACTATAATGAATAAGAATATAAAGAAGAATGTGTATGTGTGTATAATTGAGTTACTTTGCTGTGCAGCAGAGGTTGGCACACATTTTAAATCGACTATACTTCAATTAAAAAAAATTAAACAAAAAGAAATAAAAAGCAATTATCTCGAGAGGCACAAAATAAATTTGGTGAAGATCAATTGATAATTTTCATATAAACTAGTTGAAGTTCACAAACAGAAGGTTACTTCCTAATCTTGAAAGGAAACTATATTAAAAATCTATAGGAAATTACTATTCACTAATAATTAATGGAGACAGGTTATACATTCTAATTGAGATCTGGATTAAGGTAAGGATGCCTAGTTTTACAGCTGCAAGGGCTTTACAGAAATCATTAAAAGTTAAATAGCATAGCAAAACAGGAGTAATTCAGAAGTATGGTATGTTAAGAAATGGGATAAAAATATAAGGCTTCCATTTTCCCCCAAATTAGTCTACACATTCAATTAAATGCATTCTAATTTTAGCTGGATTTTTTTTTGAGGTATATGAATACCTGTTCTAAAATGTATATGGAGGAATAAAATTGTACAACTTGCACACAGTTTTATAAAAGAAAAGGAAGGGGGAAATCCATATTTAAAACACTCCAAGAAAGCCACAGTGACAAAAATCTTATGATAATGGTTCAGAACATTTAAATAGTCTGGTAGAAAAGAAAAGAGATCTCAAATATAGACACATTGTTTTACTGGAATGTGGAATATTGTGAAATTGTCATACTAAAACAGTGGGGAAGTGATAGTTCAGTTGGTCATGTCAAGAAAATGTCTTTATATATGGAAAAAAAATAAAATTTGATCCTTGGATTATCATATGTACAGTTGGAAATCAAGTATATTTACAACTTATATGTGAAGAATTATTAAATTAATAGAGAGTATAGAAAGTCTTGGGAACTTCTGGTGGAGGAAAAACTTTTAAAATGTAGAAACTTAAACTAATAGAAAATTGATCAAAGGATATCAATTAGTGATTCACAGAAGGGTTGATAAGTACATGGAAAGATTCTAAAACTTGGAAAACCTGAAAAATGATTACTAAATGTTCCATATCAGAAAAATTCTCATTGAAATATCCATGAAATATTCATTTTCTTTAAAAAAGTAGATGTATCAAATGTTGGCAAGTATGTGGGCAGGTAGAACTCTGATGGGAGTGTACACTGATATACTGGAAAATGCTATGGATGTATTAAAGTTGGACAGGACCCAGTCATTCCAGTCCTAGGAATATGTCTCAGGTAAGTTCTTGCCCATGACTGTAAGGGGATAATCATGAGGATGTTCATCCTTGTGTTTTTTCTGGCAAATCAATTTGGCAGCATCTTTGATATTCATCATCTGAGGAATGAGTCTGTCATATGTGAGCATGCATTATGGAACAGTTTACATAAGTGAGGAGCAAATGAACTAGATGTCCATGTAGCAACATAAATAGATCCTTGTAAAGTGTTGAAAAAAATAAGCAAAGTTGTGATTAGTAGCATGGTAAAATTTATACATCAAATTTAAATATATATTTTACAAGGGTTCATTCATTTTTAGGGAAGAAAATGATATGGAATCAGTGGTTATAGGAGAATGTAGGTGTCTTTTTAAAGACTGAGGAAAGTATTGTACACATAAAAGAAAAAATACAGAAGAGCATGATTAACTAAAACCTAAGTTTTAAAGCAGAGCAAAAACACATGTAAAATCATAAAGAGCAACATAAGGCATACACATATGAAGGAGCTCTGGTCAATAATATAGTTTAATAGAAGGAACTCTCATATATGTAAAGAAAAGGAAAGTTGAGTTAAATATCAAAGAAAAGGAAAATTGAGTTCTGACACCATAAAAACAACATGTAATGGATTGGAAGAAAACATAAGGCATTTAAAAAACAGCTTAAAGCTTAGTTAGAAAAGATATTGCAAATAATCTTTAATTTAGTTTAAAAAAAATCAGTCATAGATTGGTTGGTCAGCACTGAAGAATGAAAGGATGTTTCCAGGGTCAATGAGAGGCAGTGCTCATCCAGCAAATTTTAAATCAAGTATAACTTTGGAGGGACTTGGTGGT